ATCAAATCACTGAGGTACAATTTTGAATTTGGCACATTTCCTGTGCTTCTGTTTTCATTTCTATGGCAGTAAAATGAAATCTCTCTGTCTTGGGGGACATGTAGACTGAATAATAGTTAACAACCATAATGGCAAGTTCTTGTGTGGGGAGTGCAAGTTTAACTTGTGCTTTATACGCTCTCTGGAGATGTGGCTGCAGGTCAAAGCGAAAATGAAAACCATATTTGCCTGCATGTTTACAGAATTTCATGTGTCATGTTGTTTCTTTTCTTTTTCTTTTTTTTTTTTTTTTTTTTTTTTGAGATGGAGTTTCACTATTATGGCCCAGGCTGGAGTGCAGTGATGCGATCTCAGCTCACTACAATCTCAGGATGAAAAATAAATTAGACGTAATCACTTCCAGTTTCAAGCAATTCTCCTGCCTCAGCCTCCCGAGTAGCTGGGACTACAGGCACCCACCACCATGCCCAGCTAATTTTTGTATTTTTAGTAGAGACAGGGTTTCACCATGTTGGCCAGGCTGGTCTTGAACTCCTGACCTTGTGATCCGCCCACATCAGCCTCCCAAAGTGCTGAAAATACAGGCATAAGCCACCTCGCCCAGCCCGTGTTGTTTTTTATAAGCCATGAAAAGTCATTCTCTAGGTCTCAGCCCATACGCTGAGAAATTCAAGGAGAAAGATTAAAAAAAAAAAAAAAAAAGAGAGCACCTCCTGGTTGATGTGCAGGGCAGAAGCCTGGTGTCAGGTGTCATGGCTAGGGGATGTCAGAGTACCCTGTGTCGTTTTTATTGTCACTGCCAGCAGCAGGGTTGTGATATCTATAGAAGGTACTGCAGGTCCGAGTCCTATCTCTGCCACCTCCCAGCTGCGTGGGCTTCAATAAATCACTTAACCAGATGCTCAGATTGCGCATGTGTAAAATGGGACAAAAGTATCACCTCAAGCTGGGTGGCTTGAGGTGGCTCATGCCTATATTCCCGGCGCTTTGGGAGGCCAAGGCAGAAGGATCACCTGAAGCCCGAAGTGCAAGACCAGCTTGGGCAATATAACAAGACCCCATCTCTACAAAAAATTTAAAATTAAAAAAAAAATTAGCCAGTGTGGTGGTGCACGCCTGTAGTCCTAGCTACTCGGGAGGCTGAGGCAGGAGGATTGCTTGAGCTCAGGAATCAAGGTTTCAGAGAGCTCTGATCACACCACTGCACTTCAGCCTGAGCGAGGGCAACAGAGCAAGACCCTGTCTTAAACAAACAAACAAACAAATAAAAACAGTGCCACCTTAAGAGGTTACCATGAAGGTTAAAACATAATGTCTGTAATTCACCTGGCCCAGTGTCCAAAAAGTAGTCAAGTACCTAATAACTGATCATTCAAACAAAGGCAAGCTCAGTCAAAATGCTTACAATATAGATTTAAGGAATCCTTGGTAAAAATCTCCATGGGGCTAAAATCACTGGCATTTCCACTGAACAGATTTTCATTCTCTCAAGAAATTAAACAAAATGGATCATGGCTTCACTCAAGCTGAGAATGCCTTAGGTTGCTAGACTCTTTCCACATCTATAGCAGATGTGTGATTTCTGCTAATTTCTTGCTTAAAAACCCTTTATTTAGAAATCCCACTTGCTTGCTCTTTGAGATGTGTCTAAGTTGGGGAGAAATACGTCCCTTCACATTTGTCCTTCATGTAACAATATAAAAGGAAGTTGTAATTGGATTTCACCGTGGGTTCATCATTTGTGCCCCTCAGAAAGTGATTTTTTTTTTTTTTTTTTTTTTTTTACAGAAAGTCAAAATAGTCCTTCCATTTGCCAGAATTGATCCCAGGTATTCCTTATGGAGGTTTGCGATGGGCTTCAGGTGTGACCCCTCGACATCTGTCCCCTAATCTCCAGTGAGCACTGCTAGTTCTGGCTAAGGACTCTTCACAATGGAAGAACCTCAGCTTCAGAGAGGCTGGAATCAGGAAGATAACATCTGGATATGCAGGTGGACAGGAGGCAGCAGTAAACAACAAGGAATCTAGGCTACCGATCTGGAACTCCTGGGAAGTCAGTCTGTACTCTACAAAAGAAAACAAGTGCTAGCCATTGTGAGACTAACTCCAGTGAGATAAAGGCCAGAGAAATAAGCATTCTCAGGAGAAAGGGCTCCCAGGGAAGGTGGAGCAGCAGGGGCTGCAGAAGATCCCTCTGCAGGGAGCACCTACATACTGGCACCAAGCAAAGACAGCTCAGTGCATGTTTCTGGGTATGTATGTGTACATGCATGTGTACGTAAGAATGAGAATAACAGCTGAATGCATCTACATTGTGAATCTACTAACACTTACGTTATTATACTTTGTAGCTTGCCTTTATATTGATACTTTTTTAAATTTTGGAAACATTTCCTCATACTTAACACACATTAATGACCCAGCAGCTTGATTTATCAAGATAGAAATCAGTAAGCATATACTGAATGCTGACTTTGTCCAAGACACCGGGCACACAGACTAGACATTGAAGACGGAGGTAACGGCAGACCCAGTATTTGAATACTTTCATGTTGGCTTGGTTGAAATACTTGATTTGATTTTCAAAAAGACCACATCATTTTGACATAATTCAAGTTGCGTAACAGTTAGAGGCTTACTTCACATATTATCTCTGCTATTGAAATGTCAAAAAAAAATCAGGTTATTGTTTTAGTAAGAGAAACAAAAAGTGCTGCATACGCTTATGGAAAAACCTTAATTATTACAGCGAATTATTACGGTTGTTTTTATTAAGTAAGTAACATCTCAATGATCTCACACGTATCCAATAATTTGGCTGAGAAATTAATCTTTACCAGATAGATTCAATCTCCACTTTAAAATGTATAGAAAGCCTTCTAAAAGCCTCCTTTTTAGGAGCTAACCATTGGGCATTCATGGATGTACAGAACGGCAGCGATGACACTGGGAACTACTGGGGGGAGCAAAGATTCAAAAACTATTTTGTATTATGCTTACTGCCTAGGTGATGAGATCAAGTGTACCCCAACCCTCAGCATCATGAAATATATACACATAACAAACCTGTACATGTGCTTCCTGAATCTAAAAGTTGAAGTTATTTTTTTAAAAATCCAGTAAATAAGTAAATAAATAAAAATAAAAATCTTCCTTTTTATGAAAGGCATGTATTATTAAATCAAATAAGAATTCAATTTTATTTTAAAAATCTAGAATACTTGTGATATTTTAAAAAGTTTTCTTTTGAGTAAAATAAACACAGAATCGAAATATACCAAATTGAAAAGGAGTTTTAGTGGCCATCTATAAGAAAACAGAGGTCCCTTTTGAAGAACTGAAGGCTGTATTTCCCAAGAGGTAGGAACTGTATCTTTATAATGATTTTAGTGTATTTTATTTCAATAAATCCATTCTAGTCAAAATACATATATGTCTATAGTACACACAGTGTACACCTTATTAATAAAATTCAGTATAAACATCTTTGCAAAAAAACTGTTATTTACATCCAGAAATATCAAATACAGAGCAAACTGAATTTAGAAATCTGAATCCAACAAAGAATTTTCAAGAATCTACAATCCATATTTAGACCCAATTATTAAAGTTCAAGTGATAGTTGATTATATAAACTTAAGAGAAAAGCAGACTGTAAAATCTTATGTTGAATCAATCACATTAAAAAATGTATATGAAATACTCATATATACATACATCTTTATGTTTTCTGCATCTTCCAAATTTCCTACAATAAATGCATAGGGAGCTATATTTCTAAAAACTACAGAACTATTTTGCAATGAGACGTATAGAGACTTGAGTCATCATCGCAAAGAAAACATGTAAAAGAAAAATGCTTATTCCTTCTTATCCAATCAAAATGCTCACAATTTAAATTCCTGAGGGAATTCCACCACCCTGGAATTGTACTACTTTGTTTCCAGGAATCTGCAACTCTCTCGGAAAGCAGGCTTCTTTCAAGTTAATGCATTTCCCATAAGAACATTATTGTTTTCATGTCCAATATATAAGCCATATCATTTTCAAAGGTAAATAGTATATCAAACAAGAAAGTGTAAGAATTTTATGTCTTAAAAACTAAAGACACTGGATACAATTCCTTGAAGCATGCTTTGCAGAGTTTTCACAATAAAGTTTAAAATATAATTTGTTAGTTTATTCTATATTGTAAAATGTATCCTTTTACATCATAGCAGTCAACTGAAATAATTTGCTAGCTTCTTAAACTTGGGGTTTTAATCATTTCTTAAATGATTTTTTGATAACAGCAATAAAACCTGAAGTGTTTACACCATCCATTCAGCCAGTCAACACATTTATTGAGCACCCTTATGGGTAATATCTGTTGAAGGAATAAACATAGTAAGTGCTGAGTGTAGAGCAGTGAGCAATCAGACAAGGCAAAACTGCTGAAACAACCACAATACTCTACTCAAAAATAGTACTTTGCAGAATTGAAGAATCAGAGGGAAAAGAAACATGCAAGGTTTTAAAATCCTTGAAAATGCAAATTCCAGTATCAATCTGGAAAACGCATTCATTCTCCACCTTTCACCAGTGCATTTCACAGCTGCTTCTGAAGCTCTATTCCACTATAAGGTATGCTTGATCATGACTGGATTTCACATTGGATTGGTTTTTCCAAAGGAACCAAATGGTTTACATTGGATTTTCCAAAGGAATCAAATAGAAAAGACGAAGGAAGAACTTAAAAATGCTTAAGGTTTAGGAGGAAGTATTTAATGTATCCATTCAGCAATCATTCATTATCTTCCTACTTCGTACAAGATGCCAGGCAGTCCTGGGATTACAGGCAATAGACTAACTTGGAGGAGAAAAATTCCTTATGACAAGCAAACTCTACTCCACCCAGCTTTCTTTTTCATATCACAAATATTTAATGAAAATGATTATTCAATTATTTCTATATCAATGAATTTTCATTATACATAAATCATTCACTTGTTGAGCTGGCCAAAAACCTGGGGGGAGGCCCCCAATTTTGAGTGGAGAAAGTGAACTTTTCAACTGCGATGCCCATCTTGCAGCCTATAAAAGGTTAGCTTTCTGGCTTACTGGCACACCTTGTGGCCACCTTCCCCAGGCTATGGATCTCTCCAACAACAGCTTGTCTCTCTCAGTGCGCACCCCCGGACTACCCCGGCGGCTCTCCTCGCAGAGTGTGATAGCAGGCAGACCCAGGGGCATGTCTGCTTCCAGTGTTGGCAGTGGCTATGGGGGAAGCACCTTCGGCTTTGGAGCCAGCTCTGGGGGAGGCTTTTCTGCTGTTTCCATGTTTGGTTCTAGTTCAGGCTTTGGGGTTGGCTCTGGAAGTTCCATGGCAGGAGGACTGGGTTCTGGTTATGGGAGAGCCGTGGGTGGAGGTGGCTTTGGAGGGCTGGGGATGGGATTTGGGGGGAGCCAAGGAGGTGGCTCTCTAGGTATTCTCTCTGGCAATGATGGAGGCCTTCTTTCTGGATCAGAAAAGGAAACTATGCAAAATCTTAATGATAGATTAGCTTCCTACCTGGATAAGGTTCGAGCTCTAGAAGAGGCTAATACTGAGCTAGAGAACAAAATTCGAGAATGGTATGAAACACGAGGAACTGGGGCTGGAGATGCTTCACAGAACGATTACAGCAAGTATTATCCACTGATTGAAGACCTCAGGAATAAAGTAAGATGATGTCTTTTGGAGGGGCTTAGGGAATTTCGTTTCCTTTTTACTGTTATCATCTCTTACAGTGATAATCACCTACAACTTTGATGTTTTCCAGTATGGCTGTACTTGCAGCAATTTTCTCACCCCAAGTTGTTTCATTCTATTTTATCATTCACCAAGAAGTGATTGTATTTCCTTAATCTTTCTGTAGGAAATCTACATTTAATTCTCAATATCACTTTATACAGACATTGTCTTAGAGAAATGAAACTCTCTTACACTCTAAATAAAAAGCATTTAGCATCACCCTTTTTAACCTTTGTGTCAAAAACATATTTGTATAATACTCGTTTTTTAGGACTTCATCTTGCATGTGTCCCTCTTTTCTGCCAGATCATTTCAGCCAGCATTGGAAACGCCCAGCTCCTCCTACAGATCGACAACGCCAGACTGGCCGCCGAGGACTTCAGGATGAAGTGAGTGGAATACCCGGAGGATTGCGGGCATGTCCCACCATGTCTTCTGCCCTCCTGTCCTACTTTCACTGATATAAAATATTTTCAATCTTCTGAAGTTCACATGCTCCATATATTTAGTGTTTTGGTAAATTCACATAGGGCGTTCTAGAAAGTAATCAGAATCTAATGCAATTCACATTAAATGTCCTTAAATTATAAGTTGCTTAAACCCAGAGCTATGGATCACCACATTTCTAGTGTGCTACTGACTCATGATGTGACTGGCACCATAATTCTGCCAGTGTCTTAAACCTCAATTTTCCATGTATCAAAATGAGTTAATAATTTTTTGCCAAGGGGTTCAATGAAACTATCGTTTTCCTAGTGACACATGCAATGGAGAGACTACCCATGTACTAATTTTTATATTCCTTCCTCCTTTTCCATACTCAACTCTCCCAGACATAAGGAAGAAATACTAATTTCCTTTTTGCTTCACAAAATTTCCACACACACACACACAGGAAGTTGCAATGGCCATGGTCCTGAACCTGTAAAATCTTCGTAAAAGCCACTAAAGAAGTATCAATGTTTTCAGTTAAATCATGAATGTTAAGCGAAAACAGCAACTTATTTTCAATGCTTTTAGAAATTCCACTCAGAGAGGTGCTGCTGCTGTTTATAGCCACGGCAGCCAGCTAGAGGGAAAATTATTTCCTGGGATGCTGTGCTATTAGGATTCATAGCTGGTAGAAAAGTACTGTCTCCCTGATTTTTCACTTTTCTTCTCCTCTCCAACTGAACTGTAAACAATGGTGGGGAAAATAAAGAAAGGAAAAACACAAAAACAAAAACTGCATCATACACTACAGTGCTGCATTATTAAGTAGTTGCACAGATTTAAGCAAGAAATTGACCTGAAGATCAGTGGCTTTGTTCAAATGGTTGTGTTGATTCCCTAGAATGTTGTGCACTTGGTTTTCAGGTATGAGAACGAACTGGCCCTGCGCCAGGGCGTAGAAGCCGATATCAATGGCCTGCGCCGGGTGCTGGACGAGCTGACCATGACCAGGACCGATCTGGAGATGCAGGTCGAGAGCCTGAATGAGGAGCTGGCCTACATGAAGAAGAACCATGAGGAGGTGAGTCAGACAGGGCAGCCTCACTCAGCTGCTTTTTTTTCTCCCAGACTCAAAAATTACAATTTCAAATTTAGAAATCTGGAGTCGGAACAAGTATGGAGAACACATTGTCTCCCTGATAAAATGACCATTTTTTTTGGATATCTGTGTGATGTGTATGTGGTGGTGGTGGTGGTGATGGTGGTTCCCGTTAAGGCTTTACAAATTAGAGGCACTTCCTGATTTTGTCAATTTCATTATAAGGCAATGACAATAGGAATGCTAACTGTCCTAATTCAGTGATTAAAACAAACAGACAAACAAACAAAAAACTGAGTAGGCCGGGCGCGGTGGTTCATGCTTGTAATCCCAGCACTTTGGGAGGCTGAGGCGGGCAGATCACAAGGTCAGGAGATAGAGAACAGCCTGGCCAACATGGTGAAACCCCATCTCTACTAAAAATACAAAAATTAGTTGGGCATAATGGCAGGTACCTGTAATCCCAGCTACTTGGGAGGCTGATGCAGGAGAATTGCTTGAACCCGGGAGGTGGAGAGGCTGCAGTAAGCCCAGATCGAGCCACTGCACTTCAGCCTGGTGACAGAGAAAGACTCCGTCTAAAAAAAAAAAAAAAAAAAAAAGTTAAACTTTAACTTTTAAAATAGTTTCTTTAAACTATTTTAAAAGTTAAAGAACAAAAGTCTACCAATAATATATAATGCTATATATGTTGGAGAAGTTGGTTATACTTAGCATAATGCACAGACAGAGAACTCTGATGTCTCAAAGTGCATATTGGAGGCTGGGTAAGGAAGGGATGCTGGCAATAGGAAGTTTCTACTAGATTTTCAATGATTGTGGCACAGTGTGCAAGCCTGGGTGCTGTCTGCAGCCCTCTGTTTGGCAGCTGTAGGGGAAAACCCCAGTAAGTACACATCAGGCCTCCTTTCATGTAAAGGTGGCCCCTCAAGAAGCAGGGCCAACTTATCCGTTAGACACAGCAGGCACAGCTCCCAGGGTCTGTGGTAATTTCACGGATCCACCAATATGTCTTAAGTTCTTGTAAAATCAGAAGAAAAATAGAAATTTTTAGCTTAAAAAAGTTTTAATATATTATTAAATTATTAAATTTATTATATTATTTAAATATATGTTATATTAATATAATATTAAATTATTATATTATTAAATTATTAATGTATTAATATATTTACCCTTATACCAACAGTCATAAAATAGAATTTTTAAGAGACAGAGTGTGTGTGTGTGTGTGTGTGTGTGTGTGGGTGGGTGTGGGTGTGTGTGAAGAGGCGCAGGAGGACAAAAGTATCCAGGGCCCACGAAGTCACAATGGGCCCCTGTGCTCCTCTCTCTCATGTGCTGCCTCCAGGAGCTCCAAAGCTTCCGGGTGGGCGGCCCAGGCGAGGTCAGCGTGGAAATGGATGCTGCCCCCGGAGTGGACCTCACCAGGCTCCTCAACGATATGCGGGCGCAGTATGAAACCATCGCCGAGCAGAATCGGAAGGACGCTGAAGCCTGGTTCATTGAAAAGGTAACACAAACAACAAAGCCTTTGATACATTCACAGGAAGGCCTGCGAGCGAGCGTGGCTCCCGAGTCCCGTGGCTGTCTTTACTGTTGCAGAGCGGGGAGCTCAGGAAGGAGATCAGCACTAACACCGAGCAGCTTCAGTCCAGCAAGAGCGAGGTCACCGACCTGCGTCGTGCAGTTCAGAACCTGGAGATCGAGCTGCAGTCCCAGCTTGCCATGGTAGGCTCGTGCGCAAAAAAGATGCAGCATCCTTTGGACTTCCAAAGAAAATGCTGCGTCCAAATTACATTAGCCCGTTGGCTGCCCTCCTCTTTTCGGTCCCCTCCATCGTTACGTCTCTACTGTTTCCCTCCCACGTGCAGAAGAAATCCCTGGAGGACTCGTTGGCCGAAGCCGAGGGCGATTACTGCGCGCAGCTGTCCCAGGTGCAGCAACTCATCAGCAACCTGGAGGCGCAGCTGCTGCAGGTGCGCGCGGACGCAGAGCGCCAGAACGTGGACCACCAGCGGCTGCTTAATGTCAAGGCCCGCCTGGAGCTGGAGATTGAGACCTACCGCCGCCTGCTGGACGGGGAGGCCCAAGGGTGAGCAGACAGCGGAGGCTGCAAACACCTTCAGGGTCTGACCAAGCATGGACAGCAGAAATAGAAGGAATGGGGTTTTAGTTGACAGAAAAACAAACCAAAGTCTAGTAAAGACATATCTGGGTTTTACTTTGCGAAGTGTTTTCATCCATTATCTTACTTGATAATTCATAAAATGCTGCAGTGAACAAAGGCACCAGGTCAGAAGCAGATTGTAAGTGAGTACTCCTTGTACTACAAAAGTCACTCGCTCAATTTGTGATATCAAACACCTGATGATAAGAAGGACACATAGTAGCCATCTGAACCACCTACTCTAACAAGCTTTCCAAAAGTGACCAGTCTGGCCTCGCTGGAAGAACCCAGGCCTACAAATTGGGAGTTCAAGACCAGTCTGGACAACATAGAAGGACCCCCCCATCTCTACGAAACATTAATAATAATAATGTAGATAAAAATTGGGATGTAGATGTCAGGATTTGAGGATTAAGTTAAAAGAATTAAGTTAACTAAGTTAATTTCTGAGACCAGATCTTCTGTTAAAAGCCAGGCTTCTTCACTTTTTGATGTCATCTCCTTTTTCTTACAGTGATGGTTTGGATGAAAGTTTATTTGTGACAGATTCCAAATCACAAGCACAGTCAACTGATTCCTCTAAAGGTATGCAGAAACCCTAGAATCACCTAGAATGAGTCAGAATCACATTTATTAGTGTAAAACCTGTAAGATCTCATTGAACACTGCATTATTATTAATTTTAAGTATATTTATATTCTGAGCCAAGGAAAAATATTTATGCATTCCTGCACAAAATGAGTAGTCTGTACTGTATTAAAACTTTTGGGGCCCTGGACACGCAGCTCATGCCTGTAAACTCATAGCTCTGGGAAACTGAGGTGGGAGGATCACTTGAGGCCAGGAGTTCATGACCTACCTGGCAATAGGGAGACAAAAAATTAAGAAAAAAAATAGTTGGATGTGGTGGTGTATGCCTATGATCTCAGCTACTCTGGAGGCTGAGGCAGGAGGACCACTTGAGCCCAGGAGTTAGAGGTTATAGTGAGCTATGATCATGCCACTGCACTCTGACCTGGGCAACAGAGCAAGACCCTGTCTCTAAGAAAATTAAAATTAAAATTAAAAAATAAAAAAAATTGGCAATCCCAGGAGGGAAAAAACCTACTCTGCTACAAGGTATTATGATCACCATAACCACCTTTGAAATGTCTTTTTTTTTTTTTACTGTTTTCATGTGTGTACAAGGCAACACTGAATAAATTTCATTTTCATTGGATAAAACACATTTTTAAGAAGTAAAATTTACTTTTGAAAGTTTATTTAGATGGACTGTATCAACTGATGCTTAATTTAGAGGCCTATATTAAACAACCAATGTTGGATTAATCTTTAAAACACTAACTTTTGCCCTCTTATTCCACTTTTATCTTTAGACCCAACCAAAACCAGAAAAATCAAGACAGTTGTGCAAGAGATGGTGAATGGTGAGGTGGTCTCATCTCAAGTTCAGGAAATTGAAGAACTAATGTAAAATGTCACAAGATCTGCCCCATGATTGGCTCCTTAGGAACAAGAAATTTATAAATAGAAATTATTCCTTTCTGTATTAGTTCAACATTTTGTCTGTTTCATTTTCTTTGGATTCCCTATTCACACTGAGTCCTTTTTGCCCTTCTGAACCAATATCCAGTCACAAGTCATTTTGATCATGTTGATCTCTATAACAAATCAAAATTACCTTATATCTTTCTGGACATGGAGTAGTCTTTTAATGAACTTTCTTCTGGTAACCTGGAATATTTTTTAATCATAGAGCTTTAATCAAGTAGTATTGTTTTAGTAGAGTTAATCGTAATAAAAGATGAATGGTAATAATGTGAAATGTATGCCTTCTTGATTCCAACAGTAAAGTCAAGGGCATAGAGAGAAGTTTTCAAAATACTAATAATAAAATAGAGGCTGGGAATGATGACTCGCACCTATAATCCCAGCACTTTGGGAGGCTGAGAGGCAGGATGATTGCTTGAGGCCAGGAGTTCAGGACCAGCCTGGACAACGTAGAGAGACCCCCATCTCTACAAAACACTAATAATAATAATAATAATAATGTATCTAAAAACTGGGATGAGAATGTCAGGGTTTGAGGATTAAGTTAAAAGAAGGTTCTTTTAGAACTTCCTTCCTTTTTATGTAAGCCCATTAAGGCTGTAGCAAAATTAAATTGTCCACTACAGCAGTTGAGAGTTGTCCTATTCATGTTCCAGCACCATTTTCCATGCAGTCAAGAAACGCTGGGCCCTGGCCAGTTTAGAGGCTCGGTGATAAACAAGATATGGTCTTTGCCTTGAGGAACTCATGGTTGAGGACAGAGATAAACATTTTTTTTTTTTTTTTTTT